AATTGGTGGTTGTTGTTGGTGGTGGTGATGGTGGTGGTTGGTGGGGATGGTGGTGGCTAATGATGGTGGTGGTGGTGATAGTGGTGGTTTGTTGGTGATGGTGGTGGTTGGTGGTGATGGGGATGGTGGTGGCTGTGAGTGGTGGTGGTGGTGTTAGTGGTGGTTGTTGGTGATGGTGGTGGTTGGTGGTGATGGGGATGGTGGTGGCTGTGATGGTGGTGAGTGGTGGTGAGTGGTAGTTGTTTGGTGATGGTGGTGGTTGGTAGGTGATGGGGATGGTGGTGGCTGTGATGGTGGTGGTGGTGATAGTGGTGGTTGTTGGTGGTGGTGATGGTGGTTGGTGGTGGTGGTGGTGATGGTGGTGGTGGTGGTGGTGGTGATGGTGGTAGATACCCACCAACAGACTCATGACGTCAACAGTTCGAAGTAGCAGTAACTGTATACCGTCTTCCTACACGGGAGGGGGGGGGGAGGGGTTCTGTGGGCGGTGGGGGCTCTGTGAGGGGTGGGGAGGGGTTCTCTGGGGGTGGTGGGGGACTTAATGGCGGTGGTAACCTCATAAGGGGAAGAAGGTAATGGCCCTTTGAACCATTAGTATGACGGTAATGGTAATCTAAGTGCCATCATGTTATAGACTTAATGGTGATTGTCCTCCCCCCCCCACCCCACCTCTCTCTCTCTCTCTCTCTCTCTCTCTCTCTCTCTCTCTCTCTTGACCTCTTGACCTCTTGACCTGGTGGTGCTTCAAGAGGTCACGGGTACATGTTTCAGGTAACGAAGAAACATAAGATTTAGCCAAGTCAAGAGAGAGAGAGAGAGAGAGAGAGAGAGAGAGAGAGAGTATTACCATTAAGTTAAAAAAATATATATATATTTCTTGTCCACGTGGAAGGTCAGGTCGGAGAGGTCAAGGTCTCTGTGTGTGGTCAGTCAGAAACATGAATTGTACACGTGACGTCACTGCCTGGGATGGGGACTAGGTCAGTGGCACCTCCTGCATGGTGCCAAGAGGCATAACTTACCCAGGTGTTTGAACTGTGAAGACTCTCATTAGGTGTGTGTGTGTGTGTGTGTGTGTGTGTGTGTGTGTGTGTGTGTGTGTGTGTGTGTGTGTGTGTGTGTGTGTGTGTGTGTGTGTGTGTGTGTGTGTGTGTGTGTGTGTGTGTGTGTGTGTGTGTGTGTGTGTGTGTGTGTGTGTGTGTGTGTGTGTGTGTGTGTGTGTGTGTGTGTGTGTGTGTGTGTGTGTGTGTGTGTGTGTGTGTGTGTGTGTGTGTGTGTGTGTGTGTGTGTGTGTGTGTGTGTGTGTGTGTGTGTGTGTGTGTGTGTGTGTGTGTGTGTGTGTGTGTGTGTGTGTGTGTGTGTGTGTGTGTGTGTGTGTGTGTGTGTGTGTGTGTGTGTGTGTGTGTGTGTGTGTGTGTGTGTGTGTGTGTGTGTGTGTGTGTGTGTGTGTGTGTGTGTGTGTGTGTGTGTGTGTGTGTGTGTGTGTGTGTGTGTGTGTGTGTGTGTGTGTGTGTGTGTGTGTGTGTGTGTGTGTGTGTGTGTGTGTGTGTGTGTGTGTGTGTGTGTGTGTGTGTGTGTGTGTGTGTGTGTGTGTGTGTGTGTGTGTGTGTGTGTGTGTGTGTGTGTGTGTGTGTGTGTGTGTGTGTGTGTGTGTGTGTGTGTGTGTGTGTGTGTGTGTGTGTGTGTGTGTGTGTGTGTGTGTGTGTGTGTGTGTGTGTGTGTGTGTGTGTGTGTGTGTGTGTGTGTGTGTGTGTGTGTGTGTGTGTGTGTGTGTGTGTGTGTGTGTGTGTGTGTGTGTGTGTGTGTGTGTGTGTGTGTGTGTGTGTGTGTGTGTTTTTTTATATATGGCTTTGGCACTCAGGAAAAACGTCTCATACACAATTTTTTCTTTTTACACTTGTCTGTCCTAGTTCCTTCCATTATTTGAGGCTTCTGTACCTTTGATCCACTGAACACTGTAGGATTTATTGAACAAATTTATATCCCCATACTGGAAGAGGGTAATTGCTGATGACATACCCATTGCTGATTTTTCATAGAAAATTTACTTAAAAATGCCACAACTTCACTGTTTTGCAGTGGGCACTGTCAAAGTTTGGGCAAATGTATTAAAATGGGATTACTTTTAAGTAAACCTAACTTAACTTTATTTGACAAGAAAAACAAGCCACCAAAACATTGTAAGAAACCTATGTAACTTCCTAGCCCCCCAGACCCCCTGGCATATTAAACAGAAAGAACTCACTATGATACATTGTACATGGGAGAAGCCGTTCAAACCAAGCAGCTCGTAAACAAACAATGAGCAGAGGACTTGCTCCTAGTTCAAGCATAGGGGCCTAATTATTTACCAAACGAAGCATTTGCTCAAGTAATGAATATTATATCCAAACTCAGCGATGAAAATATGTTAAGAAAAGATCCATCAAAACAAATTACACTACGGCGTTTATGTCGTTAATATTAACTTTGAAGAGTTTGGGTGCATAGCTATCACTAGTTGGTTTGTGTCAGTGTGCTTTTATTGCATAGACATATGGAACTTAGAGACTTTTTAAGTGTTCAAACAATTCTTTTTTCCAAATGTTGTGCTGTACAAGTACATTGTAATTGTACTGTAATACTGAACACTTAGTACTGTATTATTCTAGCATTTATTCTCCATAGTGTGTTTCAGTTTGTTATTGAATGGACCAACACAAGGAATTCTATATCATTATACCTGATTGTTTAGAAGCAATGCAGACAAGAGAAACATTTAATGTGTGTACCTCTTTATCACTAACATGTACACTGCAGTTGGGTGGTGTTAACATGTCTGCATCACTATTATAGTCTATAAAACATATACTGTACTCTGCAGATGGGTGAAGTACATCTGGATGATGGAGTTTGCACAGACACATGTAGGTCGTGGCATTGATGACTGCTCGGCCGACCTCCAGGTTCCTGTGTTCTTCGGCTTCCTGATTGAGTGTGTCCTCACCTGTGCCTGCCGAATCGTCTCCCGAGCTCTTGGTGAAATTGAACCCAAGTTTGCCTCTGCTATTGACTCCTTCTTTGCAACCTCCATGGTGGTGCTGGGTGAGTCATTCTGATTCATGGACAGTAACTTACTGGGCAGGTTATGTATCACAATATGCATCACAATATTAACTTAGGATAGGTTAGGTTACATTAGGATAAGTTAGATTAGTGTAAATTAGGTTAGATTAGTGTAAGTTAGGCAGATGTGAGAAGACTGTTATCCAGTACCAAATGTTGCAGGTTTGCTCTGGTCCTGTACTGGATAATAAAGATCCTAAAAGAGAATAGATGTGTATCCCACAGGACAGACCAGCCTACGAACCAGCGAGTAAACTGACAAGTGGTGAAAATGATAATATATCAGGGTGTCTACTGGTCTGGGAAAGGCAGGAAATTTTATATGGAGCTGAAAAAGCCTGGGAATTTTACAAATAAACCTGAAATTTTATGTGAATTCAATTCAACTTCAAAATATTTCTATTTTCACAGCAGTCTTACCATAAATTAATGATGTACTACATGATAGGTAAATAATTAAACTTTTAGGGACAAATTCCACTCCAATAACTGAATTGTTTGTGTACCAATCATATTTTATGTTTGCGATCAAAAACCAAATATTACAGGTTATACCTACTAATTCTGCAGTGACTACAGTATTGTCAGATGAATTGTTTTTTTTTAAATAACTGACTTTAACTGAAGTATTTCACATATATATCATGAATCATGTAGGTGGATCAGGAGTGTGATTTTTCAGTTTTTGACACTTTCTGCCTTTTTGGAATGTTCAGGTCGACCCACATAAATCTTGCAAATCCAAGGAAAAAATATGGAGGAGGGGGGGGGGGGTCGAGGTCTTTGTCGATATTCATCTCTAGGCTGAGGGTGGGTCCTGAAAGGGTCTTCAATTTCTTAATTATTATCATATTGTATATCATCTTTAAATTTTCCAATATTGTAGTACTGTACTGTACAATATACTTATTATTGAAAACCTCAAATTTTGTTATTGTCGTAATAAATACCGAATTAATGTTCCTGGAATATTTTAAATTTACAGCAGGAAAACCTGGAAGAGCCAAAGAATTGTGTTTTGTCTGGCCAGTAGACACCCTGAATAAGTGGTTGTAATGACACTTGGAGGATTTTACAGTAATTACATTATTTCAGTGCTAATTACTTGCCAACTATTGGTTTCTGAGGTGCATTTTGTTTCTTTTTTATAATGTAAGTAATTAATTAGTTAAACCCATTAAATTCCATACTCTTGAGCATGCTGATTCTGAATCTATGGCTCATGATTTGATCGTGGGGTAATAAGTAAATTACAAAATAAATACAGTACAATAAAAAACATTCTGAGTAAGATGGTAAGAATCTTTACGAACATTAATTACTGGCTCTTTATTTCAGCTTTCAACTACTCAGGCGGTTACTTCAATCCAGTGCTGGCAACTGGCCTCAAGTGGAACTGCCGCGGCCACACCAACACTGAGCACATCATCGTGTACTGGGCTGGCTCAATCCTGGGTGCCATGCTGTCCATCAAACTCTGGAATCTGGCCACTGTTAAGAATGTTCTCGTTGGTCCTTTCAAGCCCAAGGAAGACTAAATAAATCTGAAGGAAACAAAAAAGGAAGAATGACTCGTACTCCTCAAGGGACAATATGTCACCACAATACATGTTCCAAGTAAACACAAAAACATTACAGTGCAGTATACAGTACAGTATTATATTTACTAAACACACCTTGCATCATGATGGGTTAGTGTGTGTGTGTGTGTGTGTGTGTGTGTGTGTGTGTGTGTGTGTGTGTGTGTGTGAAAGAAATAAAGTCAGATAATGCTACACCTCCCCACCACAGCATAGAGTGTTGGCACCATTGTCAGAATTATGTACAGTATGTAAGAAATGAACTAACATAAGGTGCTATTAGTATTTAATAACACCTTGGTCCTTGTTATCACGTTTTACTTGTAGTATTGATGCCCCCTCACCTCACACTGAAGGTGATTATGACTTATAGCAGTGAATACCATAGGTAGTTGGAGGATTGTATGAATTGTCAACCCAAATATTACAGGTAGCTACACTATATAGTAAATTTTGAAGTCTAATTATGGTAAAAGTCTGCTTATTTTGGAGGTAAGTTTAGTATATGAACTAATTAGGTTGATGATAGGTCCTTCTGTTATATGAAACATTGTTAAATTTAATAAGTGCAAATATAAATATAATGAGTTATTTATAAGGTTTTCTATGACACATACAAACACTTTGTCTGATTCTAAAAACAACATAAACTAGAGTATTTCCCTCCAATACGAGATTGTGTATAACGGTCAGAAATATTAACTCCTGTACAGTATAAATATAAATTTTGTATTAGGTTCATATAGTGATAATTATTAAACAAAACTCTTACTTTGTACAGTATAAGACAAGTGTACAAAACTTTACAAATTAGCAGACAATAGGTATGTGAGATAATGTGTATAGTACCCAAGATGTCCAGCAAGGTGGTACATCAATGCAGCAAAATTGTAGATTTATGAACACTTGTGCTCATAGGAGGTACATTTAGAAGAGTGCCACTTGATATAGAGGATTTCCGCACAGTTTAGTGGAGTGCCGCACAGTTTAGAGGAGTGCTGCACAGTTTAGTGGAGTGCTGCACAGTTTAGAGGAGTGCCGCACAGTTTAGAGGAGTGCCGCATAGTGTAGAGGAGTGCATCCAATTATGTATCCAAAATGATACAGTCACACAGAACTACAGGGTGTTACATATTATTAAGACCAAACGAGGTAGGGTTAGTGTCAGTGAGGATTAGGATATAAATTATTAATTTATTGTTTTGAAAATTCTCTATTTCCTAACCTTAGCTCTAGTCAACCCTTACCTTAACACCCTATTGGTATATGGTAGGTGAAAAATTTCCCTTATTTCTAATCCTAACTGATCACTAACCCTACCATATTTGGGTCCATTTATATGGAACTTCATGTGTAATGAGGCATGTTGTCTCCATGTGCTTGATGCTATACTGTTATGAGTGCCTCCATGTATTAGATGTTGGCCTGTATTGACGACACAGTGCCACCGGGAATGACATTTGCACAATAAGTTAATGTACAGCGGAGGATATAAGTATGTTGTATGTATTTTTCTCTTTCTCCTTTTTTCTGTGTGTATGATTGTATGTCTCAAGTTTGTGTATTTGTTATGAGTTAATACCTTGGGTAAATTTCTGAATCTTTATACCCTAATGTTTTCAACCCTTGCTCAAATATGCTGCAGTTAACACTTACGGTATATTGTACACTGGTGCCTTTCATATGTGATTATAATTTGTTCAATAATTTAAAATATGATAGTTTTCTATTATATATATTTTGTTGTTAACATTTTCAACATGTTACCCACTATTTATGTTTACACATTATACAGTATACTGTACTGTATAGTAATATCACCATTAGCCAGAACTCTCCAATGCCTGGAATTGAAATTGGCTTGGAATTTATCCAGAAAAGGTCTCTCAATTCGGGGTATGTGAAGGAGATTCCTAATTTGAAAATAAGGTGGATTTTCTGAGAAAATTCTGGAAAATCTCTCCAAATTTATTTTAATGTACTCGGAAAAATTCTGGGGGATGTAGGATTTTTCTGGGTTTGAGAGAGTTGTTTCATTATGAAATCTCTCGTCCCTGGAAGAACCCTTGGCTCAATTATCCAGGCTAACGGGGATATCACTATACAGGCGCTCCTCTACTTACGAACGAGTTATGTTCCTGAGGCTCGTTTGTAAGTCCAACTTTACTCATGTAGATACCAAACATATTGTAAAAAATGAAAAGATTATGGATATTTAGTACAGCTATACCCTTTAATAAAGCCTTAAAACCTGGCTCACTATTCTCCTCTTAGGTAATGTTTGTTCTATCTGGAATTTTCTTCAAAATAATCCATTTTCATTGACATTAAACACCCGTTCTGGCAGGTAACCCCCCTCAGTGATGATGTTTGTATCTCTGGAAGTTTGTAAGTTGAACGTTCTTAAGTAGAGGAGCACCTGTACTGTATTGATATAAAAACAAGCTCCCCAAAAAATGTTGTTAAATTTTATTGAGAATATTAAAATGTATAGATACAAATGTCAGTTATTTATTCCAAATAAGCTTTTAATACCTTACTCTATTTTATATTTACAAATTAATGCAATGATCGTATAAAATAAAATTTCACAGAAAACAAGTGAAATTATTAAATGTAATTGTTTTCTGGGATGAAATATTATAGTTACCCCTCCGTAGTTTACTTTTATTACTTTAGGATGCCACCTTTTTGGGGAGTTACACAAATTTATGTATTTGCTTTATTAATTACATAAATAATCAAAAAGACTTTAAATAGCATACTCTATTTTATATTTACTAATTAATGCAATGATCTTATAAAAGATACTTTCACAGAAACTAGTAAAATCATTAAATATAATTGTTTTATGGGATTAAATATAATAGTTACCCCTTCTTAGAGTTCTGTCACGAAATATAATAGTTACCCCTTCTTAGTTTTCTGCTATGGAATATAATAGTTACCCCTTAAACCTTCTTCTTTTTCCTCTCATCAAAACACTAATCCTATTTATTCTTCTTCCTCTCATCAAAACACTAATCCTGTTTATTCTTCTTCTTTCTTCTTCTTCCTCTCATCAAAACACAAGGGAAAGATCGAAAGCTATAGGGAAGAAACAAAATTCGAAGTGGTCATTCTAAGATCGATAGCTAGATGGAAGAAACAACATTCCAAGTGGTCATTTTTTGGAAAATTAGCGAACATTTTTGGAAAATTCAACTCTTATCACTGTTTTTGTGTTGTATTACGTTGATAAACATTATTTTCTCATCAATACATTTACTGAAGAAACGGGTAATGAGCATCACACCTCTAAACTTTGTGTTTATTTATGTATTATAGAAACATTTCTTGGTATTGTGGAGTTTGTAGAAATAGAATCCAGTTGTCTGTATCTTTAAACATGTAATAATGGCTTAACTGTTTTTCCTCATAAACAACATTTTTAATTATCTTCAGAAAATGGTAAAGTTATCATAATTTTGCGTAGCTAACTGGACTTTAATGGTCTTATATACTCCGAAAAGGTGACGACAGTACCTGGTGTCTGAGGTGAGACTTGCTTACCTGCATTCAGTCTCTGTCAAATTCCGGCTCAGTAGAAAAGTCGTGGCCAGTAGAGCCTCAATTGTATCTGTGAGTGAAGCAATGTTGGTTGAGCGGCTAAGGCCCAGGGCGGGTAGAGGATTATTAAGGTTAACTTCTATGACCTTCTGGTCCCCGAGATATGCTTGGGACTGTCAGTTGGCTGAAAATGTTCAAAGGAGGGCCACCAGACTGGTGCCTGCATTTCGGCACCTCAGCTACCCTGAGAGATTGGAGCGCCTGAACTTGCCTAGCTTATACTACAGACGGGCAAAGGGCGACCTAATTGAGGTGTATAAGCATCTCAAGGGGCACTACTCATTCGAGTGTCCTTACTTGGAGCTGGCGGACGCTCGCCCCACAAGGGGTCACAGCTCAAGACTGAAGAAGCCGCAAGTCCAGAAAACTGTGAGGGCAAACGTTTTCGGAGTGAGAGTTGTGAACTCTTGGAACAATCTACCAGAAAGTGTTGTGACGGCACCGAGTGTGAAATCTTTCAAGACAAGACTTGACCAACACTGGACCAGGTTCAGGTACATTCAGGAGCCGGTGCATGCCCAGTACTTGCAACAGTGCGTAACAGAGACGTGACCGATCGCCCAAGCGGCTAACGAGCCGATCATTTGGTAAAGAGGATGAAAGAAAAGGAAAAGTAACAGAGACGTGACCGATTGCCCAAGCGGCTAACGAGCCGATCAGTGGTAAGTAAAAGTAACACGCACACACACTGGCAGAGAAAGAGGTAGAGAAGGACATTTGAAGAGAGAGGGAAGGAGGAAGGTAGAGAAGAAAGTTTGAAGTGAGGATAAGGGAGGGAGAGAGGTAGAGAAGGTAGTTGAAGAGGGAAGGAAAGAGGGAGGGAAGTTTGAAGAGAGAGTGAAGGGCAGTGGGAGAGAGGGGGATAGAGAGGGAAGGTTGAACAGGAGGGAGAGAGAGTGTGAGGGAGGTAGAGACGGAAGTTTGAATAGAAAGAGTATTCTTACCCTAATTCAACAACGATAAAAATAAAAGCACAAATAAATAAATACATAAACAAATACATAAATAAATAAATACATAAATAAAAAAATAAATAAATAAATAAATAAATATTATCTTTACTTCTGCTGTAACATCTACAGTATAGTTTTCCCCAACATATTCCGTTTTCTGTGAGGGTTTGTTGTCAACATTCACCAGCAACTTGGAGCCAGTATGGTCCCTTTTCCAGTAAATTCTACGAAATCTTTGACATAAGACTTGTATAAAGGTTAGTTTTGATGCCTTTACTTATCAATATATTATATAAGTAGTATTTTTGCGTAATATAATCCGAGAGAATCCATAAATTCGAAAACTAAAGACAAAATAGCGTCTTGTATCAATGATACGTTAAATATTAAAGGTGTACTACGAACAGAAGCTCTTGTACATTTTCCTAAGAGACTGAATCAACAGTGTATCCTTATTTATATACAGAAAGTTACCCTAGGATTGTTAGGTTAAGTTACGTTGAGTTAGTAACATATACTCTCAAAGATAGGAGAATAAAGAGGGCGTCAAGTCACGTTCGTGGTATTTTTTTCAACAATACTCGCCGTGTGGTGGCCAGTGGTCAGAAAGCGTCAGTCGTTGGAACAGGTGGAGTAACTCGTTCATTGCTGGACTATTTCGTCGTTTTCTTTACAATACTGAAGCCTCTGGCTTATCTACTGTGTTTTGATGGATTATTGAAGTGAATGATAATAGAGACTTTAGAAATAACTGACATTATTGGTATATAAACGGTGGTGATGTGTCAACAAACAGGACCCAAACACCGACAGGCTGTACACAAGTCTCCTGCAGGTGAGGACGCTGCCATTTTATGAACAAAACTTGTTGCTACTTGACATTTTTTTTGTCATGTGTTTATTGATTCAGTATGTTGGTGGTACACTAATATTTCAAAGATAACAGTAAAATGTGGCAATTTGGGTGGGAGGAGTTGTGTTGGTGAAGGTGCATTCAACAATAATACGTGTGAACTCCCTATTCTTGTTTTTCTGTTCTATTTCATGTAGATTTTCACCAATATATTCATCTTAACCCTTGCAATTTAAATCCAGAGTGAAAGTTAAGAAACAGCGATGTAAAATATAAAACAAAAAAAAAGAATTTTGGTTTTACCAGTAGCAGCGCGCCGCGTCAAATGCCAGTTGAACCCGTAACTACCCAATCACATAACAACCTTGTCAATTATTTTACACCATTGGGTAACTATATTCTGATACCTAACCACATCTGTTGTGGTGTGGTGGTAAGAAGTTACAGACAGCTTCTTGGTGCTTGTAGCGGTCTTGGTGTATGGTGGGCTAGTGTAGCGACTGCATGGTGTGTTGTTGGGACTGGTAATGACTGCCCACACTCCTGGTGAAATTGGTGTTCCTCCAGTTGTCAGTTCTCCCTGCTCTCCTCTCCCCCATTCTTTATACCACACTCTGGAACAGGAGCAACCAATCAGCTGAGGTTACACATAGTAGGAACCAGTTGGAAATTTAGGTTACAATTCTGGACAGTCTCGACCCTTTATTCATTTTATGGTGAATCCTTTGAGTTTAAGTTTAAACTTTGAACCCCAAGCTCCAGTCTCGAATCACCAAACCTCAGGAATTACAGAACCCACAACCCTTTGATACGAAGCCCCCTTATCCACAAGATCCTGAACTCATTGAATCTAGAAAATAATGTTATTTCATCACATGTTTGTTTGGGAGGATTTTTTAAGTTTGGGGGATGGCGTTTTGACGTGTGAGGGCGGGGTTTTGACGAGTGTGCAGTCATTTTTTCATGTTTTGGGATAGAGATGTTTTGTCGCAGGAGATATTAGTTAGGTATCTACAAGGTGGGGGGAATTCTTGAGGGGTATTTTTCCACATATATCATGTAAATTACATTAACCTGTATATACAATATGGGAAGTATTTTTGTGTGAATACCAGTATAGAGCTGTACTGTACATTGATAAATTAAATACTCAAAGGTTTTTCATATGCATATCCTTATACAAGTGCTCCTCTACTTAAGGACGTTCAACTTACAAACTTTCGGAGATACAAACATCATCACTGATGGGGGGGGGGGTTACCTGTCAGAACAGGTGTTTAATGTGGATGAGACTGGATTATTTTGAAGAAAATTTCAGATAGAACAAATATTGCCTAAGAACAGAAGAGTGAGCCAGGTTTTAAGGCTGTATTAAAGGGTATAGCTGTACTAAATATCCATAATATTTTCATTTTTTACAATATGTTTTGTATCTACAGAAGTAAAGTTGGACGGACAAACAAGCCTCAGGAACTAACTCGTTCGTAAGTAGAGGAGCATCTATATACAGGTGGGTGATGATTTATTCTTGTCAAAAAATTATCAATGAAGGAACTGTTTTCTCCATGTATAAACTTTGATTGATCAAACTTTCAGTAAGTTGTTAGCAGGGATGGCATAAGGATGCTATTGGAAAAAAATATTTTCTGCTTGTTGGTTATCCTTGGTCATATTGACTAAATGTCAGTTATGGATACATAATAAATTAGATGCTTTTTCAGCAGATGCAGCTCACCAACTTACAATAGGCTAACTTAACTTACAATGTGCTTTCAGTAGTCTATGTTGAACCATATGACAGTCATCTGAGTAAAAACTCGCACAATATTCATTGACTGTCCTATGTGTTAGACTTTACCGCCATTGGTGAATAGAATTTTAGTTTTACATTTGTAAATATTATTTAAAACATATATGAACAGCAAATAAGTGTTGCTTTCATATTCATATGTAGAGAAATGACATATGTTTTCACATGTACGCACTTACTGTACATACGTTGGCGTTCTCAATCGTCTCGCCTTATTTCTTTACCATTAGTGGTTAGCTACTTCTAGTGTTCCATTTATTAACATAAAATAGCATT